TGAGTGGCACACAGTGAGAGCAGCCTGTCACCGTTCGCATTCGCTGAGCCAATACCATGCGCACCGATAACATCTGTCCACGCTGATGCATCACGCCCAACGTGCGCGTGGAAATCACCCAGCAGAAATAGTCGGTCGCTCCTCGGCACAGACCGTATCACGGAGGATAACTCAGTGTAGAACTGATCACGCGTGTCATCAGGATGACACATGGTCGGACCGTACGTGTTTATAAAAGTAGCAAACTTACCTCTTCCGAGTTGTAGGCGAACAGTCATCAGTCGCGCGCTGATGCCCGTTGGTTGACCCACCAGCTGGCCATGGAGGCGATCGGATATTGCAAATCCGACCCCATGTTCACGTGGTGCTGAGGTGGCGTTGCCCACCCAGTAGAATGTGTAGCCAGCACCTGTTTCATGCAACTTACCTAGCTCAGCGAGCCGGGTTTTACTGATCGCCGCAATATCGATGTTGTAGCGCGCCAGCTCCATCGCGACGAGTGCAGTGCGTCGCTCCGGGCGCTCGCTGGAGTTCCGATCCAATAGTGTGCGCACGTTCCAGCACCCGATGCTGAGTGCTTTGCGCGCAGGCATACGATTGCATTGGTGGGCAATCACACGTGAGGTGGTCGTTGTGCTTCGGAGGTTTGCTTGAGGGACTCCACCCGGAGCCTTTGGCTCAATAGCCTGACCCACAAGGCAGTGAGTGGTTTGGAGGTTTGCTTGAGGGACTCCGCCCGGAGCCTTTGACCTACAAGACAGTGGGGAGCAGATCCAGCTCGGGAATGTGATTGCAGAGACAGATTGGGATCTGCTTGACGGCCGTCACATGCAGCCTTTGAAGTTCTGGAACGTTTTATCTATGTTTTGCGACCGTAGTAGGATACGCACCTGCGACCACGACCAGACGCAGGTGGGTTTTGGCGGGTTTGCACCAATTTGACCAGGGCCTACCTGGCTTGAGGCGGACAGTAACAAACCATTGAACAACCTGAGGTGTCCTCCCACCGTCAGAGACAATGCGTGGCTTTCGTGCTCTACGCCAATCGAGCTGTGAGCTTATAACCCGTAGACCTGTTGTCTCCCATGGCTAGGTTTTACGGGAAGTGGGCCATCGACCACTTCCTAACCTCCGAAGAGGATAGGACTAGATTACTGCCAGGGCACCCACTCCTGACAGGAGAACGACTCGGATCCTCAGCCAAAGCCTTCGATTAAATGAACACCCGAAAGTCAGCGGGTCAAGCACATGGTCAGTTCACTGACTCATGCGGATTGGTGTCCTGCATCTTAGCAGGGAGAAGGGTTAAACCCAAATCCCACCCAGTGGTCGCCACGAGGAGGCGCCCAGGACATGAGCAAATGGCACAACAGTAGCAGCAGTGGGTAGACCATCTGTCAGGATCTAGCCACCACCAGCGTCAGCGCACCATATATATATATATATATATATATACATATATATATATATATTTCATTCCACTTTATTTGGTTTGTTCTGCCTACCTGAATAATGTTCTATTAACTGGCCACGTTGCTTACGCTAATTGCGCTTATCTTCGGCACTTTTGTTGCGTTTGTAACATTTTTAAGTAACTTGTTTACGTTTCTTACTTATCACGGGTTCGTTGCTAACCAACTTACTTCATATGGTAATTTAGTGAAGAGTTATGCCACCGTATCTGTATGCATTATTGGACATATTTTATTTCATTTCGTTTAAAGTGAATGGCTGTTTGATATCCCCGGTGTGGCTGCGCTTGGTGTGTATATTGACAAGGTGCCTACCTGTCCATTACCCACGACCTCGTCCATACTGGCTTCAGGAGACAGTTGGTCGTTGATGGAGCGGAGGGGATGCACAGTCCTTGTGGCCGTGCTAGGCTCAAAGAGCGGTTCCATGCACACAATGTGGAGCGGACTATGGTCCAGCCACCGCCTTGTGTGCGCTTGATTCCCAACTACAGGGTGCCTGTGTTTGCTGTGAAGGAGTGTGGGCCGGCTCCGTTGATGAAACCTGGCTCCCATCCGCATGCTTCCCGGTCTTATTCCTTCGGGTTTACACTGGATATGGGGGGTGTGGTTGGAGCTGTGGGTGGTGCAGCGCAAGCCACCCATGGTCCCTTTGTAGGCGCAGGCTTCCTGTGGCTCGCCACAGTGACAGACAAATCGGAAATCGGATGCCGCCAACCATATATATATATATATATATATATATATATATATATATATTCATCGAAACCTGGATATCCCTGTTTGGCCCGCCTGCTATTGTCACCACGGATAGAGGGCCTCAGTTCAGCTCTGCCTTGTTTCATGATCTCAACCACATGCTCCGTTGTTCACATCTACATACAACGGACTACCACCCAGTTGCTAACGCGCTAGTCGAGCACTTCCACCGACCCCTCAAGATGGCACGGTCGAATACTAAGTGGCCCGAGCGTCTACCGATCGTCCCCCTTGGGATTCCTAACACTAAAAGATGACCGGCTATTGTCCAGCTGGACTAGTCTACGGTACGACAGAATTCCCGGTGAAGTAGCACTAAATTCAATAATCACTGTCGAACTGGACCCTGATTCGCTTGAGTTAACACTTTACTGCCGTTCGTCCAACACCACGTCGACCTTACTCTCGAAGTCAATGGAGAATTCACCCCGATTTGCGCACCTGTCCTTTTGTCTTCGTGCTTGTGGACACCGTCCGTAAACTGTTGACTCTGCCGTACGAAGTTCCCTACAAAGTCCTAGCTCGTAAGGAGTACTTCGTGTTGGACAAGAACGGTTGTAAAGACTCTGTTGGCATTAATAATCTAAATACTGCCTATGTCGAACTGCAATTGCCTTAGCAATCTACCGACACTTGTGTTTCTGAACAGACTCCACTGCAAAGCACCTCTCCCACTCAGACGATGTGCGACCCCAGTGTTTCCTCCTCACCCCAAATCCACACTTGTCGCAAACCTCGATATACCTAAGTGTACGCGTTCCGGACGTACAGTCGTTTTTTCTTCTCAACTTGTGACTTAAAAAAGCTAGCACCTCCGACTAACGCTCTAAGGGGGAGTTCTGTAACGCTTGTACATTTCATCTTTACAGCTGCATTTTCTTATTCCTATTCGCATCATTATGGTCAAGTTATTTTTAAAATAGCGCATTTAGAAGACATCAATTGCGTTATGTTACTATATCGACTGCTCTCCTCAGTCGAAAACGCAGTACATTTCAGAAATAACGTATTTACAAGTGGAACAAAATCACTTGGGGAATATTGAACTGAAACCTCATAACCACGGCAATCTGATGGATTGCCTCAGTTCCTTTTGCGCGCACAACGCCGGCCGGTTCACCGTAATCATTAGCGCTTCACTGATCGTCAGCTTCTTCGAGTTGCGGTTAATCAATAGCACTTTGAATCCTGATGGGTCCACATGATGGCCAGTCGTCACGAGATGTTTTGTGATAGATGAGGCGGGGTTCCAGTTCGTTGTTTGATCCATCCCTTCTTGTTTCACTATAGACTGTCTAAACCACTGAGGGAAGTGCTCAGCTACCCTTTGAGCTAATCGGCGGTCGATCCTGCCTATGTATACGTCACTGCAACTGCAGGTGAACTGGTAAATAACATGAGAGGCCCAACCGACTGGCGAGCAGCTCGGACGGTGGTTGAGAGCAAGCCTTCGTCTGGTGTAAGTGCGCATGAGAGCAGACCTGAGCTTGTGACCAAGGTCCTTTGAAACATGGTCCCCTTTGAAGGGCAAAAATAAATAAACAGCTTTCTTCTCAGACGTTTGCACTGGTAATTTCTCCTTGACTGGTCTGATATGGAGTTGGATAAACTTCCCCGTATACTCATTAGACAATCGAGTTTTGAGTAGGAATTTCTCTTCACTCTTTAGCATCTCTGGACTGCAAATGCGCCTAGTTCTGTAGAAGAGGGTTTAAACAAGACCGCGCTTGTGCGCAACGGGGGCGAAGCTGTTAAATTGCACGTATCGCCCGCTCCATGTCGCTTTGCGATAAACCCTGCGTTGGAACATGCTTCCTTGTCGTTTATTAATGAGAATGTCCAGAAACGGTAGGCTGCCTTGCTGTTCCATCTAATACGTTACAGAAAGATTGGGGTGAATCGAATTCAAAAGGGCAACCATTCTGCGAAAATGCTCCTCACTGGTGAAGTTTAGGATGTCATCTACATACTGTTTATACAGCTTTGTTTCATCAACGATGTTAGCGATTTTGCGTTCAGTCAGCCTAAGGAATATGTCCGCCAGAACCGGGTCCAGAGAGCTTCCCATTGCAAAACGATCGACCTGCCTGTACGCAGTTCCTTCAAACTCAAATCGAATATTCTCTGTGCAACTTAATATCAGCTCGTTTAGGTACTCAGGAGGGAGTCCCACAGATAGGTTCTGGCTCAAGAGGAAGTTCCATAATTCGTCGATTGTTTCACGTAAAGTGACATGCTCATCAATAGACGACCCGGAAGTACGCTGTGGCGCACGGTTTATCGCAAAGGGACATGGAGCGGGCAGTATCTGCATTTTACCAGCTTCGCTCCGATTACGTACAAGCGCGGTCATGGTTGATGCCCAGTGGATCTATGCGCATTTACCATCGAGACAATAGATAGTCACATTGTTTCGCACCGTATTTCCTCTTCCTCCTTTTCCTGGTCCCCTTATTTTTTCGTCCGTGTATTGCCTCTTGTTTGTTTACTCCTACATCCTGCCCTCGCCTTACGGTAGGATATAATTCCCATTTCATTGTATGTGCACCTGAGTCGTATACTGAACATTAGAATTGTAAGATCGCGCAGTGTTGTATCAACCTTGCTTTAACGCTATCTCAACGAATTCCCCACTTGACTTTTCCAGCGGAATTCACTAGCTTCCGTCTTTTACCATGATTGATGATTCGGAAACCTACAAACTCTGGCGAATTCGGAAAACTATATTGAAAGTTTGTTTTACTTTGCGACGTAATAGTTTCCCGTCAGATGTGCAAGGACCGCGGGTATCTGGTCATGCCGAAAGAATTAGAACAGACATTGGATGACTTTAAGCTTACTGTTGGCGATCCGCCCGTTCGAAAGGATTTACTCATGGTGGTTAATCATGAAGAGGATCCTGCTGACATGCTGTACGTATTCTTTCCCGATGAAGAGAAAGTTAATATGAAGACTATCCGCGCCTACCTCAACCAAATGCAACAAGATAGCACTTTCAGAGCCATTCTGGTCCTCCAAGAAAAGGGTTTAACTCCTTTCGCCAAGACGGTAAGCACGTATCAGCTGTCACCTGTTTACCCCCATTAGGCCATTGCTGAACTCTCCTGTAAATACACTCTAGAATGTTTTTATGAAACTGAGCTCATGGTTAATATTACTGAACACCAGCTTGTCCCACAACACAATGTCCTCACCCAGGAAGAAAAGAAAGAGCTGTTAGAGCGATAGTAAGTAACTCACTTGCTCTGATCCCAAATTCTCCACACAGTCGACTCAAAGAGAGCCAGTTGCCCAAAATGCAGTCCAGTGACCCTGTGGCTCGGTACTACGGATTACGGAGAGGTCAGGTGGTTCGTATTACACGTCCATCGGAAACGGCGGGGCGCTATATCACCTACCGAATTGTTATTTGAAATGAACCTGATTGCTTCTCACACTTGTAATTGTCTTTTTGGTTTTATTCGTCAAAAGCAGTACTCTCCAGCAATAAACGTCTTTCTCGATTGTTTGATTTTATTATTAGGTATGTGTTCTGTAAGGGCAAATCGCTGTACACTTTCATCTCGCTCTGAGGCCATCGACTTTGCGTACGTAATATGCTTATTTATTATTGGCTTGTTACCTTCGTGGCTGGCAGTATATAAGTGCCGGTGTTTTAGACCCGCATATTAATTACGTTAAAGGGCAGAACTCCTTCATACTGTGAGGATTGGGGCGCACACGATCTGTAGAGGTGCATTCCTCGCTATCAACATTTCTTCACAACACCACCAGACACGGCGAGATACTATTTGCTATTTTATCGAATCAGTTTACTGATTCTTTCAGTAAGATTTGCTTGTATGCATAACTGACCCCCTACCTCGCAAAAACTTGACGCTTTGCGTTACGTACACTGGTGATTTATAGAGGCCTACTGGTTGGCCCATCGTTTTTCGCCGAATACTTCCTCTCGATGACATTTAAATGCGGGTTGAAAGTACTACCGGGATCAGCGTTTGGGCTGGATTATATCAATCTCATTTCAATTCTCTACAGTGTATAAACCTTGCTGTCTCGGCGATCAACTCTCCATCCGGCTCAGCCGCGTTAAGGATCGCACAGTTGTATGTGTGAAATCTCATTGAGCCGCTGCTTGTATGTTTTCATGTTGCTGAACGACTGCACTCTAGGAACACCCGCTTAAATTCGATCCTAGACTGTTGACCGTCTTAAATCTTCATCTGATCCGTGACGCATCTATTGACGCTTTTCCAACTGGAGTGGGTTGAACCGGCTAGCGAAATAGCGTATCTGATTTGTCGCACGGGATGTTAGTTAACAGAAGTGTGTTACGGAAACGTCAAGTATCCCCGTAAAAATACACCACAAACGCCAGTGCGTGGGTTGACACGTGGAGTTCAATTCCTCCTCACAACGTAACAGCATCCAGCCAGACGTATTCAGGGCGCAACCCTACAGAAGTGAACAATGTTCTTTAGTAAACTATGCGCCCTACGCTGTTATTCATTTCACCAACAAAATGAACTATTGTGCTAACTGTGATTCGGCCTTTATGGGTCGTAAAGGAACTCAGAGGTCCGCTTCGTCTTGTCTTGTTTTCTCTTGTGGGTGGTTGGGAATCGCGTGATCGTGTACACCGCTCTAGCCGTGTCTTACGTGCGCATGTAAGTCTCGCGCGTCTAGTCCTCCGGTCATGTGCGTATTGTCTATTTTCAAGGACAGCGTGTCACTCGAATACGTGCGTGAATATGGACTGTGCTCAGGTTGCGCGTAACTCGTTTAACCTAACGCGAACAGGTCTGCGCAAATCCATTACAAAGTGCTATCATGTTGGTGATTACTTTGTAGGGTCTAAGTCACCGAACAACAAGTCTCACGGTATTTGCTTAACCAAGTAACTCGATGAGACAGTTGTTATACTGCTCTTGTTCGTACGGATCAGCTGACTATCTTGCACGACTTCCCCCCCCCCCCCCCCACAGGTTAAGTGAACCAAATTCGAGTCGACCACGACCCCGCGAGTCGTAACCACTGGGTGGGCAATGAAGGTCGCCTTCCACTAAAATAACCTTGCGCACGAGACGAAGTGTCGACTCCCACAAGCGCCCACGAACTAGATAGGGAGGGAGATAACGGTGACCTAAAACAGGACCGCTTTTACCGACTCAAGCAAAGGCGGACATGGATTTTACACATGGGTGTTTGCAGCACAGTTCACTTAGTGGCCGCACATGAATTATGGCGAAGAAAAATACATCGTGGGAACGTGACTTGTCACATAGCAACGAGACGCACTGAGTCTGTGCGAGGAAATCTCAGACGTGATTATCGCGATCGCATAGTTTACCCAGTAGCAAATGTACACACTGAGCCAAATGTGCACTTATCCATGAAAGTATCCCGGTGATGCGCCGGTTAGCTTCTCAGTGGTCACCTTCAGCGTTTTCAGGTGAATTTGCTCAACTCCAGGGGATCTTCATGTACGCAGCGATAGCGGCTTCCTCAATGTTTCTGCTGAAGTAAAAGTAACATGTCGACATCCTGACGCCAAGGGATTAGAGTCAGGTATGTGACGCGTGCTCATAACGCGTCGGAATTTAGAAGCATACTGTATCGGTAGAGCGTCGGTCGCACTCCCTACACCTTATTCCCGTCTGTCTGTTTAAATGAGTGCAGAACTGCCACGTTTCACTTTCCGAAGACTGTTGACATGCGTGTACCTTGGCTTCTTGTTTTCACGAAGCCTTGCTAGTCACTAGGTGTGTTTATTTGTCCACATGTGACACGGTGGTTACGCTGCATCAGCTGGTTGCTGCGGGGATCATGTCCACGTTTAGTTCCATACGTTATCAACTCCTCCCCTACTACCATGCATTTTCGAGTTCTATGTGTAGTAAAAGATGGGGATTTTGTAGGACGAAAAGACCCGTTTTCTGGATGTCAGTCGTGACTAGCGACACATGAAGGTAGTTGTAAGGGGGAGCAATGACCGGTTCCAACATGTGTTGCACGAGACTTACAGTGAAATCCAAGTCAGGTCAGCTAGATGTCAAGTCACTAATGTTTTATATACACACGTGACGGAAAGATACTCAGCTGCAAAATACCGCAGGCAGGGATAGCTAATGCGACAAGTATCACGTAAAAGGGTGGCTGCCGAAAAGTTTACAGAGCCGATATCACTGAAGCAATTCGCAGAGCAGTTTTTGATTTAAATTTCACCCCGTCAAAAACTTGGCGGATATGGGTCAACTGGCGTACCCTAGGGCCATGGGCAAGTATAGGTGATTCTATACGTTTGTTTAGTCGAGGACGTTGATAGACACTCATAGCACCATGTGGAGAGGGTGTTGGACGCAAACATTTGCGACGATGGACATAATTGGACACGATAATGTTGAGAAGCTGCGGCCCTCGAATGCAGCTGCATCGAGCTAAATGTTTCAGCGACCTGATAGGCCAGGAATGATCGCGGAAGAGAAGTAGGTCCCACGGGGTAAAACACTCAGTACTAAACCATAGAATCAAACAACGGGATACGTATAAATACCTACAAACGAGAGACAGAACATCAGTCTTCCGAATTGAATGAATATTCTGTCAGGGTCAATGGGCCACATGAGATCGTGGTTCGTTGACACTCAGCTGTTTCGATAATATGGAGGAGTTTAGACCTTCACCATAGATATAACATTGTGGATAGCGCCTGAGGATTTGCTGTTAACGGTCTAATGTAGGAAGTGAGCAAAGAACATTTTAGCATTTCGGGGCATTCAGACTTTGGACCAGGAAGATTAATTGTTTAGCCGAGGAATATGTGATCTGATGATAACTAGGATCACGTCATTTACACACTTCGGCATGTTTGCTTCTCTCGGGATTGGGATTGACATAGCCTAGGTGGAAAATAAGAGTGAGGACAGAATGGTCCTCTGATGAACACCGGGATTTGTGGTAAGTGTCGCGATTTTCACAATCTGATTAACTGGCTACCTTTTGCAACATAATCAGTACAGAATTTTGGACTCAAGGACCGAGCAGATTCCGCAACAGCAGTTCACGACTCACCTAACCGAAGGCATTATGCTCAAGAAAACGGATACGAATGGAGTGATCTTTATCATCCAGTGATGAGACCAAACACTATACAGGGCTAGCCATCACAACTAAGGTAACCGTTGGACTGCGGTATGTGCACAGATAAGGATCATCCGGACGTGTCTGGATTAGCATCCAAAGATAATTCTCTCAAAACACTAAAATCCACCCCATTGCAACTGACGAACCGATATTCACACGTTCCTTTCATTGGCATACGGATACTTCTCCTCTAGCAGTCAGTTATCATGCGCTGCCCTAAACGCGACACGTACAGGTTAGCGATGGATTATATCAATGGGTCAGCGTATTCGGAATTGGGTTTGTAGTCCCCGCCGTGCAGTGGGATTTCAACATGCAATCTCTAACGGGACTTCAGTTTACTATGATGTAGACCTCTTTCATTCCGATTACCAGGAACGTATCCAAGGTTTCGGACATGCTCTCTCTCAATACTGACACTGGGTTTGCGTCTTTTTTGAGGACGGCAGCAGATGGTCCTTGCTGGATTTTGACTGCATTAATACGCTGTATACGTCTAAGCTATATACTGGAGGCGGACTAAGGTTGAGTCAATGTTTTGGTTACAGAAAATGTGCTTTACCCGCTTCCAGCTTGGGACATGTGACACTTGGGATAACTCCACTTAGCAGTCTCAACATCACATTTCCCGATGGTTATTGCCTACCAGTATGGTTTGTGCGTGCTTGTTGCGGGGACGTCGAGACGAATACTTTACTGGGGCGATCTCTTTGCGCTTGAAAACCTTTTCTTTATGTCTACGCAGTTACTTGAGGCGTTGCAAAGGAACCCTTTTGTACGGGTCGAAGTAGCTTTTACTGGACAACAGATCGAAGCAGAAGTTTGGGTAACTAGTTGACTGATCACGTCATTTTAATACATTTGTCTCAAAACAATCTAAAATCATCAGATACACTATTTCCTCTCAGCCGCCAAGTGCTCTGAAGAAAATATTATCTCCTGAACTTTCTGTCTTTGAAACGGATGACACACGTCACTCGACTTGTTGTTGATAATGGTAGAAAAACTGGTGGCGTTATCATGCAATGCCAACTTATAGATAGATATTTTCAGGTCTTCGCGACAATAGGCTTAATATGTAATAATCCGAGTTGTGCTGTATATTGAGAGTAGAGCGCGAAAAGATAAAAATCTGTGTTGCTCCATCGTAGGTAGATCGGGCATATGCGCGAAATCACGTCACTGCTTCCCGTGTGTTAGCAGCATATTGCAGCTGCACTACATCTTATCCAGGTGCGATGCGCTCCCTATACATGTAGTCCGCAAAGTGGACATCAAGAAATCTTTTAAATTCCGACACCGATTTCGCATCGACTATAGTCTTCGGCAACTTGTTCCAATACTTTACC